TTTGGTCAAATATCATAGGTTTCTTAATTTTTGGCTAATTTACATTGATTTACATAGATATAGTTTGCAATTTTGATCATTTGAATAATTGTGCAGGAATTTCTAGACTTTTTCCATGGATTTTTAGCATTTGAGAAAGTTTGAGATGAAAGTGATCACTTTGAATCCCATAGTGAACACTGCAGCAAGCTAAGTCTAGAAGGGCAGACTAAAGTGATCACTATGAGCCCATAGTAACAACTATAGAGACCCAGTTTGAAGAAGTGCTGCGCATGCTTACTTTGGAAACATAGTAGACACTCTGGAGCAGCCAAAGTTATCACTCTGATACCAAAGTGACAACTCCAGAGAGGGCAAAAGCATAAGACTTGCGCGTGGCTACTATGGAACGATAGTAACTACTATGGAGCACTGCGCGTTATCACTATGATACCAAAGTGACAACTGCAGAGAGGCCAAAAGTACAAGACTTGTGCGTGGCTACTATGGAGCACTGCACGTTATCACTATGAAACCATAGTAGTTACTATAGGCGAAAATTTCTGCACTACAAATAGAATTTTAGAAATTAGGGTACGGGGGCTTTCACACACTTTTAGCTTATTTTTCCATTTTGGGGAACACTTGTAGAGCCTAGGGTGGCCTTGGGTGACAGCCAAGGATCCAACCTAGGGTTTGATTTACATTTTCTTCTTACTTCTCTTTGATTTTTACATTGATGTTGTTGATTTCCCTTAACTTTTACTTTGTAATTGTGAGACCCATCCTCATGGAGGGATAAATTTCTTGTAATCCCTAGTGAGTTTGCTTAGATTCTTGAATTCTTGGGTTTTGAATATTAATATAAATCTTTTTCTTTCATGAATTTCTTCTTCCTAATCTCTTGAATTGAATTAATGGTTGAATGAGGGAGACATTGCTTAATTAACCCTAATTCGTTTTAATGAGATTCTAATCTTGAATTGCTTAATTCTAGGTTTATTTCTAAGGTTGCGTAATCTTGGGATGAGAGATTGGAGTCCATTGAATTGCTTAATTTCGTATGGGAATCTAAGTTTGATTTTTGCTTATTAAATTAACCTAATTCTAGGAGGAGAGGAAGAATATTAAATCTTGAGAGGAATAGGGATAAAGTCTATATGAATGAACTAGGGGTTACCACTCTTTATTGATTGAAATTTATAATTTTGTTTCTTTCTCTTTACATTGAACTTGAAATCACAAAACCTCCTTTTTTACTTACTTTTTGAATACATTTCGTACTACATGTTTGATATTTGGTTACTCATCCGATGATTCATGGGAGACGACCTAGGTTAGTACCCTAATATTACATTATTTTCTATTTATATTTTGGTGAGGATTTGCAACAAATCTTTTCGTTCATCAGCGAGTTTGACGTTTTGCCTGAACTAGTTAAGTTTTATCGTGTGACTGGAGAGGTCACATATTTTATGTACAGTTTCACTCTCAGTGCGTTGATATGGAAGGATTCTTCTCCATGCTTGGACAGTTTAAGTACTCCATATCGGAGAACCTTGACAACATTGTAGGGACCATACCAACTAGATTTCAGTTTTCCAGGAAATAGTTGCAACCAAGAGTTATAGATCAGAACCTTGTCACCTGCTTGAAAGCTCCTATGATAAATGTGTTTATCATGCCACTTCTTAGTGTGCTCTTTGTATAATTTAGCATTTTCAAATGCCTCAAAACGTAATAACTCCTGTAATTCATTGAGTTGCAACAATCTCTTTTCACCTATGACCTGCGAATCAAAATTTAGGAACTTCAAAGCCTAGTAGGCCTTGTCTTCAAGCCCAACTGGTAAATGACATGCTTTACCGAAAACCAAACGATAAGGGGACATACCAATAGGGTTTTTGAAAGTAGTGCGATATTCCCAGAGTGCATCATCCAATTTCAGAGACCAATCTTTCCTAGAGTTGTTAACAGTGCGCTCTAAGATTATTTTCAATTCCTTATTATATATCTCAACTTGCCTACTAGTTTTGGGATGATAAGGAGTGGCCACCTTATAGGTGACACCATATTTTATTAAAAGAGCTTCAAATTGTTTATTGCAAAAATAGGTGCCACCATCACTAATAATAGCCCTAGGAGTTCCAAATCTAGTGAAAATATTTTTTCTTAAAAATTTAATCACAACTCGAGTATTATTGGTGGATAGTGTTACGGCCTCTACCATTTGGAAACATAATCAACAACTACTAATATGTACTTGTTATTCATGGATTTGGGGGAAGGCCTCATGAAGTCTATGCCCAGACATCAAACAATTCACAAATTAGGATATTACTAAGGGGCATTTCATGTTTCATGGATATGTTTTGACTTCTCTGGCACCTATCACATGACTTAACATATGAATGAGCAGCTTTAAATAAAGTAGGCTAATAAAAACTACACTGCAGGACCTTATGAGAAATTTTCGATGGGCCACAATGACCTTTCACCTCCCTAGAATGGCAATGATTAAAGATGTCGTTAACTTCACTCTCTAGAACACACCTCCTAATCATATTATCCCCACAAATCTTAAAGAGATAAGGTTCATCCCAAATATAATGCTTCACATCAAACCAAAACTTCCTAAGCCTATGCTTATCGAGTAGTTTAGAGGTTACATTACCTATTAGATAATTTACAAAATTAGCATACCATGGTGCATCAGAGATTGCGAGGAGCCTCTCATCAGGAAAAGAATCCTTGATCTCCCTCATCGTGGGGTCCCTCACTAAAACATCTAATCGGGACAAATGATCAACTACGACATTCTCACTTCCCTTTTTGTCTTTAATTTCTACATTGAACTCTTGAAGGAGAAGAATCCACCGTATAATTCTTGGTTTAGCAGCCTGTTTCAACAACAAATACTTAATTGCAGAATGATCAGTGAAGACAACAACTCTAGACATTATTAAATAAAAACAAAATTTATCAAATGCAAGGACAACAACAAGTAATTCCATCTCTGTAACGGTGTAATTACGCTGAGCGTCGTCCAAGGTTTTGCTTGCATAATAGATGGCCTAAAACACCTTATCTCGCCTTTGTCTCAGAACTGCTCCCATAGTTGCATCACTAGCATTACACATTAGCTAAAAAGGTAAAGACCAGTTAGGGGCCACAATCACAGGAGTAATCATTAATTTATCTTTTAATTTTATAAAAGCAAATAGACATGCTTCATAAAAGTTAAACTCTACATCTTTAGCCAATAAATTAGAAAGAGGTTTCGCTATTCTTGATAAATTTTTTATAAACCTCCTGTAAAACCCAGCATGTCCTAGAAAACTCCAGATGGCCTTGACACATGTAGGGGGAGGTAGTTTAGCAATAACCTCAATCTTGGCAGGGTCTACTTCAATACCTTTTCCTGATACCTTGTGTCCTAAAACAATCATTCATCAACTATGAACTGACACTTCTCTCAATTTAGAACCAAATTGGCAAAACTAAATCCAAGTTATGTGCACAACTATCAAATGTGGTACCATACACAGAAAAATCATCCATGAAGATTTCAATACAATGCTCTAACAAATTAGAAAATAAAGCCATCATACATCTTTGAAAAGTGGCGGGGGCATTACATAATCCAAAAGGCATTCATTTATATGCGAATGTTGGTTTGGGTTCTTGCATACGCAACCTTCTAAACACAGAAAATGGCATTAAATTAATGCTAGCACTTAAATCACAGAACGCTTTATCAAAAAAATAGTTTCTTATAGTGCATGGAATCATAAAACTCCCTAGATCCTTTAGCTTAGGTGGCAGCTTCTTTAGTAGAATTGCTGAGCATTCCTCATTCAATCTGACTGTCTCGAATTCTTCCAATTTTCTTTTGTTGCTTAGCATCTCCTTGAGAAACTTAGCATATTTAGGCATCTGTGAGATGGCTTCAACAAAAGGAATATTGATGTGGAGCCTTTTGAGGATCTCAAGAAACTTATTGAAATGTAGGTCTCTCTGATTACCTATCAATCGTTGTGGAAATGGAACTTTTAGCTTTGGCATAGCTGATGCAACTTCCCTTGTTTCTTTTTTCGCATCTGGGTGGTAAGCATGGCCTTGCTCATCGTTGAGCACGACCTTGCCTTCATTGTTTGCACAGCCGTGCTGTCTTAGACAACATGGGCATGTAGGGTGATGCAAAGACGTGCTCCTCTGTGAGCACAGGCGTGCATGACTTATGTGTTTACGTTCCAATTAGGTTCTTCCCACTTCTCAGGGTAATAGCCTTTGCTTGTTGCCTAGGATTTAGTTCTAGTTGGGATGGTAGTGTTCCAAATGCTCTCTGACTGAGGAGACTCGTGATTTGCTCCAACTGAGACTCAAGCTTCGAAGACCGAGTCCTCATCTCAGATTTGATTTCTGCAAACCTCTTATCTCCCCTTTCAATTTGTTGTTCCATCTGGGCCTCAAGTTTTGCTATTCTTTTGTCAGAGTTGTGTACGTATTGCATCATCTGTTCTTGAAAATTGGATTGAAATATGGAAGCTTCTTTTCTTTCTACCTTCTCCCCTTGACTTTGCACATAGGGAGGGCAATAGGGCGCATTCTGATTTCCTTGGCAATTTCCCAAAGGGGTTGTATTGCTATTACGCCATCCTGGGTTATAGTTATTACCCATGAAGTTCACCTCTTCTTGATCAAACTCTATATTATGTGCTAACTTTGTAGGTTGATCTTATGCCTTTAGTAAGCACTCCAATTGCTTTGTAAGGGCTGCCATCTGACTTATCAGAGGGTTGCTACTTTCTGCTTGATAAAATGGTGTAGCTTCCTTTCTTTTGAGGTTATACGAGTCAACTGTGTGCCACTAAAAGCTGACAGATGCCATTTCGTCTGTCAATATAAATGTGTCATCTGAGTCTTTCCTTATAAGAGATCTTCTTGCTGCGACATCAGTCGTGGCCCTGTTATTGATGGATAGGCCACTGTAAAAGATTTGCACCTGCCTCCAAGTTGGAAAATCATGATGCGGGCATCTTCTGAACAGTTCCCCAAATTGCTCCCACACCTCAAATAAGAATTCTGCTTCATTTTGTTTGAAGCAACATATCTCCGTCATAAGCTTAGAGGACCTTGATGGGGGAAAGTACTTTCTCAAGAATTGTTGAGTGAGGTCGTCCCAAGTTGTGATGGAATTAGCTGGGAGTGAGGAAAACCATGCATTCACCTTAAAGATAGAGTCAAATAGCATCGTTGGAGACTCCATTGTACTTGATGGTGTCCGTCAATCAGAGGAATTTTGTCAGATAAAGATTGGGGTCTTCGTTAGGCATGCCTTTAAATTGTATGGAGTTCTGGACCATGGTTATGAGTGTTGGTTTAAGTTCAAAATTGTTAGCCTCCACATTAGGGGCCGCGATGCTTCCAGGGGTGCCTCTAGCATTAGGTGTCATGTAATCTTGAATTGATCTTCTTCCTTCTACCATTCTTTGCTCTCTTACTTCCTTTCTTTGTCTACGAATTGTTCTTTTAATCTCTAGATCTGTAAAGCACTTGGAACGAGTGAACATAGACACTAGAAAGAGTTGTGAAATGATAAAAAAATAAAAATAAAAACAAATTATAAAAAAAAATAAACAAAACAAAATTAGAATAAAGTAAAACACAAATTGCTTAAATCAATTAAATTTGAGATTTTCTTAATATTGAAAAATTAATCTCTGACAACGACGCTAAAAACTTGTTCGGAGGGCAAGTGTACCCATCGAGAAGTAATAAAGGGTTCTTAAATTAAGTTTCCAAAATATCGTCTCACAAGGATTGATTTCCAATTACTAAGAAATTCTTAATTGAATTGTTTTAAGCTTCAAAGATATGAGATTAATTAAATCAAGAATTTATAAAATCAATTATGAAAGTAAGAGCAAGAATATGATTGAAGCATATTAGGATTACTTTTTTCTTGGGCTTCAACATGTTTGAGAAAGATATACAACTAGTTGCCCACTTTGAGCTTTATTGATTTTTTCTAGTCCTTTATATTAAAATTATGAAATATTTTGTTGACCTTGGGTTTGTAACTGGAGCAATTAAGTGAACTCACTAAGAAATTTATGAAGAAAAAGGAATTACATTAACATTCATAACCTAGGAATTCAAGAATCTAAGTGAACTCACTAAGGATTACAAAAGATCTAACCCCCCATGAGGATAGGTCTCACAAATACAAAAGAGAAATGAAAAGAATTCAAAATCAAAGGAAAGTAAAGAAAAATATGAATCAAACCCTAGGTTGAGTTCTTTGCTGTCACCTAAGGCTGACCTAAGCTTTGCAAGTGTTCCCAAAATGGCAAAAATCTAAAAGTGTAAAAAGATCCTTAATCCTAATTTCTAAAATTCTATTTATAATGCAGTGGTCGTCGCCTATAGTAGCTACTATGAAAGTCATAGTAGCTACGTGCAACCTCCATCCTGTCATCCCTTTGGAGTGTCCACTATGAAGTTTAAAGTGACTACACGCAACGCACGTAGCTACTATGGAATGGAAGTGGTTACGCGCAAGACTGGTTCAATTTGGCCTTTCTCTAGATTGTCCACTATGGAACTCAAAGAGATTACGCACATGCTGTCATCAGATTGGGGTCTCTGTAGTGTCCACTATCACTCTGAAAGTGGTCACTTTGGTCTGCTCCCTGAATTCAGCTTGCTGTAGTGTCCACTATTACTCTGAAAGTGGTCACTTTCAACTCAAATTTTCTCAAAGGCTAAAAATCCATGGAATAAGCCTAGAAATTCTTGCACAATTATTCAAATGATTAAAATTACAAATTATATGTATGTAAATCAATGAAAATTAGCCAAAAATTAAGAAACCTATGATATTTGATCAAAATGATGTTTCTATGCTATTTACACTTTCTAAGTCTACTTTTTCTATTAAAGAACACTAAAAAGATAAGTTAAAATCTCATAAAATGTGGATTCATCACAACCCCAAACTTAAACTTTTGCTTGTCCTCAATCAAATCAAAACTTAAGAAAGTTGCATGTGAAAAAGGGTTGGATTTATCCAAAAAATTTTCTTAAAAATTTCATTCCAATGTTAGACCCTAATTGGCACTCCCAACATTTCTAAAATCATGGATTCATTCAACAAAGAAATCACACTCTTATCAAATATTTTCATGCAAAGTCCCACCAAACTGAAATGAAAATCCAGCAAGGTTTCATGCAATCCACATAATGTAAGAAAATAATCTAGCTCACAGGATGATGTTTCACTCTTCACTCATCAGTGTTTTAGGCTAAGTGTTTCCCTCAATTCATGTATTTTGCCTCACCCTACCATATGCTTGCCCATATTCTCAATCTCCTTTGCTTAGATACAATGAGTCCCATACAAGGAGGGACAACAGCTCAAGTGGGTATTTCAAGAAAAGGGAATTCTTTTGAGTCAATGAATACAACAACTTAGAGTGGAATGCATTAAATGATGCAACAAATTAGATTCAAGCACTCTTTCACCATATTTTTCATTGAGTTGCCTTATGTGGAAATTCTTTTTCTATAAAAATGACTTGCTGTATTTTTTTTTCTTTTTCTTTCACCTTTATTCATTTATTTTTGTGGTTTATTGGACTTTGGCAATCATTATTTTCTTCAAATTCAAGCATTTTTTTTGACATGTAATATTGACATGTATGATGCTCTAAGGTGCAGGGGTGTTCTAGGATGGGTGGGTGGTTGTGTGCAAGGAAGGCCTCAATCATCTAGGTAAAAAATTGCACAATGCATATTCAAGTGAGAAACAGGGCAAGTTCTAGAGGATAGATGCAAAAAAATCATGTAAAGCACACACAGAAAAGAAATTTAAGGCCTAATTCTCTACCATGGCAAAAGGTGATAATTACTTAGCCATATGTGAGTACAGTTCACCTTACAAAAAAATATATTCAATATGGTAGGAATGGTAAATATGTACAACACAGAGAGTGATTGTGAGTTGAATGGGAAATGAGAAGTGCAATCAGAACATAAAATTGAAACTACAAAATTGGACTAAATTAAAAATAAAAGAACAAAGGGAAAATATATTTTTGTATGTTTTTGTCTATTACTGTGCAAGGAATTTAGATTGAACACTTTATGAAATAGAGGCAAAGAGATCATCCATTTTCATAAAAGATAAATTCATAACTCGGGGGGTTAAATTCATGCTCCTCTTGATGGGACTGAGGGCATTTTCTACACAAATATACACAGAATTCAGTATAGAGATCAAATATGAAAGCATAATACGAATGATATATATAATAGTGGAGATGTCTTAAATTGTTCAAGATAGAAGTAGGAATATGAAAGTAAAGCAGTAAAGACAAAGGCGATAATGTACGATAATTACATGGAAATGGTAGCTAATAATATATATAGGGAAATGGAAGTAAGTAAGTGAAAAGTAGATGGCATGAAAAGAAACTAAAACTAAATAGCATCTTCATTTAAGTTGGAGGATAAAGAGTCATCATCATTGTCAGCATCCTTCTTTGCTGCTGCTTCCTCCTTTTCTTCTGAAGAGCTAGGGCTGCTTTCTTCTGCATCAGCTCATCCTGGGGTAGTGGGAGTAAAAGGTGGAAGATCACTCTAGACCGCTGCTCGAAGGTAGGGAGCACTGAAGGTTGGGGCATCATAAAGCTGTGTAGTAGTCATCCCTAATTTCTTCCCTATGCTCAGCAACATAGTGTCTATCAGAGTCATCAGGGCCTTCTGACCAACATGTATGACATCCTACCTCAGGGCAATCTGTCTCATTTGCTCTCTCATCTTCAATGGGGTGCCCTTTCTGTATTCAGTTGGCAGTGATAGCTGTGAAATTAGAAAAGCTACTTTGACCTTCTGCTGGTAGTCTCCAAAGTTGACCGCCAGCATTCTGGCACAACATGGTAATGATAGATGGAAAACCAAGGGAGTCCTGGCTCTTGCTCAGGATCTCCATGATAGCACTGTTGATCAGCTCACCAACGTGGATGAGCATGCTTGTGAGGATAGCATATATGAGCTCTGCTGCTTCACAGCCCATGTGGAGGAATGGATGACCGACATGAAAGAAGTGAGGATAAAAACACTCTAAACTTTGGCTGTAGGGATCAAGTGTCTTGTTGTCAGGTTCTTGGGCTATATTCTGGTGTCAAACTCTCAGTTTTCACCCTCTTTACAGATGGCTTGAAGGATAGGCTTGTAATCCTTGTCCTCCAAGATGCTGAAGGTAGAGAAGTTCAGCTGCCCAACTGGGATGTTCAGGATTCTTTGGATGTTGGAGGTAGTGAAATTGATCTCTTTTCCCCTCACCATGCTGTGTCTAAGGGGAGAGTGTCACCTTTTATCCTCATGACGTTTGCATAGAATTCCTAGGTGATTTCTTTCCCAGCCTCTTTTCTAAATTTTCTCTTAAAACTGAGGGTAGGTGCCTTCTTGAATTTCAAAATTGCAGTCCTACACTAACTGTCTTCTCAGAATGTTGGTCTTGAAATAGTTTTCATGTTCCAAGGACCAAAATCTAGGATCGTGTGCAAGTAGAGGTTTGGATGAAGAGGCACCAACTGTCTTGGCTCTCTTGGGCCTTAGAGGATTCTTTCTTAGTGTATTGACCATGGTTGCTGCAGGGATGAAGGGAAGACTTGGTGAATTGAATGTACATTGATATTATGCAGCAGAATGAACAGAGAAAATAATGTGTAGAGTGGTAATAAATAGACAACCAGATCATATGTTGTAATAGAGTATAGTGTGATTGTAGTTACTCTATGGTTCAGGCATGACAACATTAAGGCATGAAAATTGACATAAACAGTGATGCAGGAGCAAAATGGATTAGGTGTAGAGAATGCAGACAATTGGGTAATAAAGATAGGATCCCAAATTTAGTGTAACAGGCCACTCTGTATGTCACTGAGGTTTCAAGAAAGATCACTTAAATTACAGGCAGGGTAGTCTCAATGTAGACAATTAGCAAGGATGATTACTTTCAATTTGCAAAAATTATGCAATTAGGGGGTCATGTGACAACACATAACAGAAGTACAGAGGCACAAAAAATTACATATAGCAAAAATTAAATCATCCTCTTCA